GTCAAAAGCGAAAGAAGCCGAGGAGGCCGAAATCAAGAGATCGAAGAAAATCCTTATCAAAATCCCTTTCAGGAAGGACAAAATCGACGACGAAATTGCACAAGAAGAGCAGAAAATCGACGAGAAAATTGAGGATGAGGACACTCGCGAAGTGCGAGAAGAAGGGAAGATTGTCAACAGCAACACAGATGAAGAAACCAGGATATGGAACCTGAGACCCCGAAAGCCAATTCGGGCCTCGCTGAGTGAGAACTGGGGCCCGGCGAGGAACCACAGCCCGGCCATGCCCGAGAAGAATAAAGGCCACCCCTCGAGGAACGTCAGCAGCAGCAGATCAGGTGAAAATGGAGACAACGGCCAGAAGAAGGGCGGCGGCGAGAAGAAGCAGAAGAGGAAACTGAGCCTTTTTCTCTCTCTAACCAAGGAGGAAATCGAAGAGGATATCTTCTCCTTCACCGGATCGAAGCCCGCAAGGAGGCCCAAGAAGAGAGCGAAAAACGTACAGAAACAAGTAGATGTAAGACAAAATCTAATCGTCACACCAATTTTTTTTATGATTAATTCCTTTTTTTTTCACCCAATTTTTTCTTGAATAATTGCAGACACTCTATCCTGGGGCGTGGCTGATATCAATAACTGCGGATTCGTACAAAGTGTCTGAAAATTCTCTCAAGGTTCTTTTACAGTCTTCATTCATCCCTACAACACGGTCAGATTTGAATGTTCTGATTTCTATTTTTTTTTTCTTTTTTATGATTAATGGTGCCTTCATATTGCAGGGTTAGACGAAGTCGACCGACGGCGACAACGACGATGATGATGCCCAAGTAGAAGCTTCCAGGTTTTGTTAAATTAGTCTCTTTTGTACCTGCAACTGCGAGGAAGGACCAATGTTGTTTTATTAGGGTCTATTTAACCAGTTTGATTTTGCCTTTTTCTTTGCTCCCTTTTTTGAGCTGATCTCAAAGAATTGAGAGATGAATTATGTGTAGCAGTTGCAGTGGTTTGTAAATAAGGAATACTTCATCTTTCAACATTTCATTTGAGTACTCAAATAGTCATTTTCTTGTTTGTACTTTAGATTTTTGTCTATAAGAGAAGTTCACCTTGTCCAGTTCCCTTCTCAAATTCCTTTTGTGTTGTTTTTTGTTTGTCATTTTTCATTTAGAAAATGGGCTAAAAGAAGCATAAAGGGCAATCATTTGATGGTCGGTCTCCTCATAACCCCTCCTCATATTGGATTTCTTTGGATATGCTGCATTTTTATCTCATATAGAGAGAGAAGATTGAAAAGAGAATAGAAAACGACGATTTTGCTATGAAACCAACAGTTGGCTCCATACTGGAGTCAACCTTCTACATACAACAAATAAACTTACCATATTAATAAAATTATATAGAAGATTTATTTGTTGTATATAGAAAGTTGGTTCTATTATGGAGCCAACTGTTGACTTCGTATTAAACAAATGTGGGTTTAAATTCAATGATGGTGGCGCTTCAAAAATTAGTGATTGACTTCGTATTAAACAATTGTGGGGTTTAAATTCAATGATGGTGGCGCTTCAAAAATTAGTGGTTGGCTTGACTTTTGGACCAAAGGATACGGAAGAAACTTTCAAAGTTTATGTTCCAAAAACATTTCCTTCCATACCAAGTATTCCCTGTATATTTTTTTAGGGAGATGCTGCAGTTCTTGTAAGGAACTATTTTGTTGGGTTTGTAACCGTTAGATTAATTATCTTTGACGGTTACATGATGGTCTAACGGTTACAAATTTCGACGAAATGGTTCCGTAATGAGACCGTAGTACTTTCCTAATTTTTGATTGGTGTGTTGTTAGTCTCAAAGATTATGTTCCTTTTGGCATTGTTAAAATTTAAGTATATTTATAATTAATTAATAATGTTTTTTTTTTTGTTCCTTTTAACAATTATAGAAGTGCCATCGAAAATAAGGTTTGATTTGCCAAAGAGAGTTTCAATTTTCAAATGGTACCGGTTATTTGAGATCTATCAACTTATGAATAATTCACGAAATAAAAATACTATCTTTTAATTTTACTTAAGTATTAGATAAAAATGTAATGGCTAAATTTGATGTGAAAAATGAATAATTAACTATTTACCAAACGTAATTCAAAGGTAGATGATGTAGCACCAAAAATAACTCGGTGGATAGGCTTGGGCGGTTAGCCCGGATAAGGCCGGTTCAATGAAGCTCAGATCCCATTTATGCGATATATGGTATGGGTTAAAGATGTTCGGGAAATATTCCTAAAATATATTTAAGTTTGTATATATCCAGACAGTGATTTGGGAGAGTTAGACTCCTTGTTGTTAAGGAAACCTTTGTCTTGCGGAGTAAGCCACTAAATTTATATAAATAAGGATCTCTTGTTCATTTTCTAGACCTAAACATTTAAGATTACATATAATACACGATCAAAATATTCATTTTCTGACTTGAGCGTCGGAGTGTCTACGCTGGGGCCCTGTCCCGACGCTTTGCAGGTCCATCCGGTTATTCTTGAAGACGAAGGCGATTGAGATGTCCGAACTCTCACGCGATCGAGATGAGACGGTTCGATCGGCAACCTAGGTAAGTCAATTATTTTGGCTCATCGAATTGGCGCCGTCTGTGGGACACCCGAGTTCTACTGGAAGGAAGTAAATCGGCGTCCCTTTTTTTGTTGCAAAGAGAAATAAGAAATCCTATTCCAGAATTCCATTGTTTTCGAAAATTTTGTGTCCATGTTCCGGCAATTTAAAAAAATACATCGACAAAAAGGGGAGATTTTGTAATCCAGTGGTGGATCCACTCTCCGAAACAATTCCATTTCAAAAAAAAAAAAGAGAGACAAGAAGAAAAAAGAGCAAAGTTGCAGTGGTCGTGGCCATCGAAAAAGGCAGGGGAATCCGATTCCGCCAGAAGCAATTGAGCACCCGCAATCTATGGTCTGCCTCTAGTCGTCGCCGGTTCGTTGTCTAGTTGCAGTAGTACTTTCAGATCGTCCCTACTGCTCGCGAATAGAAATCCGACGAACGATGCCGTGCACAGCTGCGGATCGCTACCTCCAGATTTGGTGGAAGGCGTGGAGATGACCAGTCTCCCAATTTTTTGATCGGCGAGAGGGCAGGGATGAGAAGTAGTGGTCGGGCCCGCTGCACGAAGCCCAATTTCGATGTGAAGAGCCCAATCTCGGCGTTAATGGTCGGCTTGGGTGGCTTAGAGGTGGAGTCTGATTCGTCGGTGGTGAACGGGAGGGGCCTCCGGTGGCGTGGTTGTGGTCGGCAATCAAGGTTAGTAGCGACGGTGTTTGTTTGAACGTCGGCTGCAGCGGGCTCGGGCTTTTGGTGGTTTAAATCAGAGGTCGGTTGTGGTTCAGTCGGCCTCGGTGGTGTAAATCGGAGGTCGGTCGTGATTCGATCGGGTGCCGGCCGTGATGTGGAGGCCCGATCTGCGTGACAGTGGGGGGTCGGACTTTGGCTATTGTGTAGGTGGAGACATGGATGTGGGTTCAGAAGGTACCAGAGATCATAGTTAGGAAGATAACCTTTTAG